AAGAAACTCTTCCCAGAGAGGGTGGTGAGGCACTGAACAGGTTGCCCAGAGAAGCTGTGGGATGCCCCCACCCTGGAAGTGTTCAAGGCCAGGCTGGATGAGGTTTTGAGCAACCTGGTCTTGTGGAAGGTGTCCCTGCCCACGGCAGGGGGGTTGGAACTAGATGATCTTGAAGGTCCATTCCAACCCAAGCCATTCTTTCTAACCTACTCGTCTGCATGAGAGATGTCAGCTATCACTGCAGGAGGAATTTAAAATATATGCTGGTTTTGGGTAAATGTGCAAAGGGTGAGACAGGCAGCTCTCTGCCAATAGCAGATCTCAAATCAAGCATGAATCAGACTACAGTTCTACAATGGCATTTTGGTAGGCAACTATAAACTCACTGCATCCATTGGAACCCTTTTTAACTGATTCACAGGTTAAAAAAAAACACAGTAAGCTGCGTGAGAAGCGAGAAGATAGGAACAACAGTATTCAACAAGATTGTATATGACAAGTGTTCAACTACAGGGTGATTTAATACTAATGATGTGATGTTCTTCAACACCCACAGAACAAGTTTTCTTGCTGAGGTCATGATACTTATTACTAGATTATTTCCAGAAAACATTTCACTTCCGGCATGTAGAAATTCTCTTGAACAGTCTGTTGCAACTACTCTGCTAGAAACAAGATCTGCTGAGAAAATAAGTTTGTAGTCACAGAGAGAGAATTTTGGGGTATGAAGATGCCCTGGAAGCCACTGATGTCATACTGTAACAAATCTGGATGATTAAAAGGAACTATTAATTCACTTACTAAACATTCATTTTAGTATTAGTTTAAATGGGAAATGGCAAGAGCTTTGTTAAGCAATAAATACATTATAAACCATTCAACTAAATTGAAACATACAGTATTTAGCAGTTCATACATTTTTTTCCCAAAATTTCAAAGGTGATCAGAGCACTGCATTTGTGGAAATCTATCACTGAGCACATTCAGAGTTTACCAAGACACTCAATCTACTTTCTGTGACAATACCAGAGGAGGTTTTGTTCTCACTTCTATCTTCGGACAGGTTCATAGCTGAGAGATGGGAATAAAGACCAAACATCACGGCTTGATAGCTTGCTTCAAATAAGGTAAGAAAAACGCCCGTGGCAGGGGGCTTGGAACTAGATGGTCTTTAAGGTCCCTCCCAATCCAAACCATTCTTTGAAACCTTCCAATGCCTTGGTACTGAAATCTTTCTTCCCT